GGTGTCAGACAAGTCTGTTCTGTGTCTTTGGTGTCAGACAAGTCTGTTCTGTGTCTTTGGTGTCAGACAAGTCTGTTCTGTGTCTTTGGTGTCAGACAAGTCTGTACTGTGTCTTTGGTGTCAGACAAGTCTGTTCTGTGTCTTTTGTGTCAGACAAGTCTGTTCTGTGTCTGTGTGTCTCGTTCTCCGCCGTGTCTAAGACACCCTGCCCTGGCCACACCACACACCAACACACCACACACAACACACCAACACACCAAACACCACACGCCAACACACCACACACCAACACAACAACACACCATACACCACTCCCCACACACCAACACACCACACACCACACACCAACACACCAAACACCACACACCAACACACCAAACACCAACACACCACACACCAACACACCAACACACCACACACCAACACACCACACACCAACACCCCACACACCACACACCAACACCCCACATACAACACACCACTCTCCACACACCAACACACCACACACCAACATACCACACACCAACACACCAACCCACAACACACCACACACCACACTCCAACACACCACACACCCACACACCAACACCCCACACTCCAACACACCACACACAACACACCACACACCAACACCCCACACTCCAACACACCACACACAAAACACCACACACCAACACACCACACACCAACACACCACACACCAACACACAGCTCTTGCACACCACACACCACACTCCAACACTCCAACACACCACACACCACACACCAAACACCAACACACCAACACACCAACACACCACACACCAACACACCATACACCACACACCAACACCCCACACACAACACAACAACACACCACTCTCCACACACCAACACGCCACACACCACACACCAACATACCACACACCAACACACCAACACACAACACACCACACACCAACATACCACACACCAACACACAACACACACCACACACCAACACACCACACACCAACACCCCACTCCAACACACCACACACAACACACCACACACCAACACCCCACACTCCAACACACCACACACCAACACACCACACACCAACACACAGCTCTTGCACACCACACACCACACTCCAACACTCCAACACACCACACACCACACACCAAACACCAACACACCAACACACCAACACACCACACACCAACACACCATACACCACACACCAACACCCCACACACAACACAACAACACACCACTCTCCACACACCAACACGCCACACACCACACACCAACATACCACACACCAACACACCAACACACAACACACCACACACCAACATACCACACACCAACACACAACACACACCACACACCAACACACCACACACCAACACCCCACTCCAACACACCACACACAACACACCACACACCAACACCCCACACTCCAACACACCACACACCAACACACCACACACCAACACACAGCTCTTGCACACCCCACACCACACTCCAACACTCCAACACACCACACACCAACACACAACACACCACACACCAACACACCACACACGACACAACACACCCCACACACCAACACACCACACA